CTTAATTCCAAAGAAACAAGAGATTAGCCAATTCCATGGCCTGGAGGTTAAGGCTCTCGACTCGCAACCTGGGGGTCACGGGTTCGAATCCTCCGCCGAACATATTCGTCGTATATGGTTGCCGACTGGGCCAGCCATCTGTGGGTAAAAATTATTGGCTTACAGATATCCCAACCGACTCTAAACTAATTGGAATTAAGGTAGTAACAGGAAAAATACATACAATCCCATACACTCATAATATGTGAACTGTAATTTCGTATCATAACATCTGCTGTAAGTCTAGCTGATTAATGACAAGAGGTGTTGTCCAACTGAGCTTCACGTGCCTTTACAGGTGAAAAACAATTTGATGTACATTGAAAATATTAAATATATATATATGCACCGAACTAAATAACTATATATTGTCGGTTTTTCCATTAATTGTGCTACTCGTTTAAATGTATCTGTTTATTAAAATTTCATTGGGAAAATTTGTTTTGTATTGTTTAATAAGCTAGAGCAAGGGATAGATTTGGATAGAAAAAACGTTTTCGTCTCTAAATGTTTTTGTTTTTTTAACAATATTTTTTACTTTTTTAAAGATGTCTCAGAAGGTGATACTGGTAACTTACCTACACTCTCGCTTTAGAGCTTTCGCACAGTTACCTACGGACTGCTCCTGCCTTCTTTCTGAAGAGACACTAAACTAAAGAGTTTGAAATGTTGTCTCCGAAAGCAAACAGAAGACATGAGCACTCCAGAGGAAGCTGTTCAAGACGTTATCACACTGTTTAAAACTTTCTTCAAACGTTTTGGACACATGAGAAGTCCAGAAGAAACAGTTTAAGACGTTAGCACACTGTTTAAAACTTTGTTTAAACGTTTTGGACACATGGGAAGTCCAGAGGAAACTGTTTAAGACGTTAGCACACTGTTTAAAACTTTATTTAACCGTCTTGGATACTTCTATACCTCCTCGATATTGGAACAAGACTTCGAAAGCTAAGCAGTAAAAGTTTAACCATTCTCTTCATAAAATATTTCTATGCATACGTTTTATAGTCTATTATTTACTGTGTCCGCTGAAATCAGATGTATTTGGTTGTCAAACAGGAGAGGACCGTTGGCTATGTACACTTCTTCTTCAACGAGGGTATCGGGTTGAGTACAGCGCAGCCTCAGACGCTTACACCCATTGTCCTGAAGGTTTTGGGGAGTTCTTCACACAACGACGTCGGTGGGCTCCATCGACTATGGCAAACATCATGGACCTTCTTGGAGACTACAAGCGAACTGTGGCCATCAACGATAACATTTCCTTTCTTTATATCGTTTATCAAGGTATGCTGATGGTTGGCACAGTTCTCGGTCCTGGTACCATCTTTTTGATGTTGCTGGGTGCAATGGTAGCTGCTTTCCGAATCGACAACTGGACTTCATTTTGGGCCAACATGATCCCTATCTTGGTCTTTACAATCATCTGCTTTGTTGCCAAGAATGACATTCAGGTACATATCACTCAATCCCCTCTTTATACTTTACATGATATTATATGACTTAATGATGTCATTTACCTTTCAGCAAGATGGTGTCTTCTTTACAACGCAATTGTAGCTCAAGAACACGCGACTTCCTGCAAACGGACACTTACTTACAATTAGAGCACCGTGATGTATATGGATAATAGTTATGGCGGCGACGATTCTCTTGGTATAACTAAATATAATTGTAAGCAGAATTAGATTACATGTTCTATATATTGTACATAGCCTACTTCACATTCGTAGGAGTGTTGAATCAAATCAGCTGAGTTAACTTTATTTAACACATTCAACTCCTTAAACTTATATCAAATTGCAAATTTTAGGTAATATTTGGATTAACATCTTACGTCATCGCTTTGTCTTTTCATTATTTGGAGTTTATTCAATATTGTTGTTTTTAAAGTGAAATCTGATTCATTGAAATTAGTTTTATACTAAACTAACGGATTTGTATATGTATATATGTTTTAGATACTCGTAGCACAGATCCTCAGCTCAGCCTACGCGTTACTTATGATGGCCGTACTGGTGGGGACTGCTATACAGCTTACACACGACGGCATTGGTTCACCTTCGGCAATATTTCTGATTGCACTGTCTTCCAGTTTCCTCATAGCAGCCATAATTCATCCGCAGGAATTTTCTTGTATAATATCTGGTCTTCTTTACTTCATCAGTGTTCCTTCGATGTACCTTCTACTGATTCTCTACTCCCTGGTCAATCTGAATGTGGTGAGCTGGGGAACGAGAGAGGTTCAGACCAAGAAAACGAAACAACAGTTAGAGCAAGAGATGAAAGAAGAAGAAGAAATGAAGAAGAAGAAGAAACAGAAATCTAACATCTTTGGCTGGTTAGGACTTAGCGGAAAAGAAGAAGAAGAAGATGGTGGAATAACTTGTAATCTTGCTAATCTGTTTAAGTGTATGTTTTGCACCTACCCAAAAGCTAGCGAAGAAAAAATACAGCTCATTAGGGTCAACGATCAACTGGAAAGTCTAAACAAGAAGATTGAAACACTAGAGCGACGACTCGGGACAGGGACAACGGCATCTGGTTCTGCTTTTCGTCGACGATCTTCTGCCGGTCGTCGTTTACAAAAACCTTTTGAAAATTTGACTACTGTTCAAGAAGATGAGGGTGAGGAGGAAGAGGCGGAGGAGTACGAAAGTGAGTTTGAGGAGTCAGACGAAGGTAAGTAAAACAGGAAAAGTAGTGAATTAAAGTACATTCAATGAAATTCCACCACAAGTTAATGGTTTCCAATGAATTTAATATAAAATAAAAATGCACAATTTTCTCTTTTTTTTAGTTTAAACTGAGCTTTCATAGCTATGTTATAGTTAAATAAGCCTTTTTAAACAAATATGACGTAGTTGGTTGGGTTTGTTTTGAATTCGCGCAAACTACACGAGAGCAATCTGCGCTAGCCGTTCCTAATTTAGCAGTAATAGACTAGAGGAAAAGCAGCTAGTCAACACCACCCACCGCCAACTCTTGCGCTACTCTTTTACCAACGAATAGTGGGATTGACCGTAACATTATAACGCTATCATGTTCGGTGTGACGGAAATTCGAACCCGCGACCAGCAGATTCAGAGTCCTAACCATTAGACCATGGCAAGCCTAGTTCAATGAGAGTAAAAGATTAAATAGGTAAAGTTAGTCAGGATATGAAACAAATTTCCGTAAAAAGTGACTACTGGACAGGAAATTCTAAATTAAAGGTAAAAATTATAACTTAATTTTGGGAATATAATAATTCATTAGGACCATAGCTACAGTAAGTTGCACTTAAAAACATCAAAAACCAAAATAGAGATTATTGTAAACAACCGTGGTCGAAGTATAGGTATCACTGGTGGCCTATAATGATCTACGTCTTCAAAAAGGTAGGGGGGGGGGTTCAAATATGGTTTCAAAGGCTGTAGAAAAGGGCCGAAAACACAATTAACAGAGAGAATGCTCACCTAATGGTCTCCCGGTGAGATAGCAGTAAGTTTACGGACTTAAAACGCTAAGATTCGGGGTTCGAGTCCCCGCAGGGGGGACCCAGCAGATAGACCAATATGGCTTTTTCTCTAAAACAAACCCACCTAATGACTTAAAGCAGAGAGGTCATAGAGACTTATGTGATTTGCCCGTTACTCCTAATTAAGACTAATTATTATTACTTGTATTTTTGTTGAAGATTCTTGAGAACAATTCTTATAGAAGTTTTTACAGAAATGTAATCTGTTAAAAACCGTAGCAAAAAAAAGCCATGTTGTGCACATACCACATTGATGGCAATATTCTCCTAAGTTGAGATTTAACACAGCTAGTATAGAGGAACTAACATGACCTGGTTTGAAAAGGCCACTATCTTAGCATGGCCATTTCTAATTTTGAACTGATAGAAGAGGGAAGGCAGCTAGTAAACAGCACACACCAACAACTATTTCGCTACTGAATTATTAGTGGGATTTGACAATCACTTTAATAACGCGCCATAGCCCCAAGGTTCAGAGAGCGTTTTCGAGACAACGGATGGCGAACCACGAATTCTAAGCTTCACGGTCTGGTCATGCTAACCACTAGAATACGCTCATTTCTCACCTTTGTTTGATTTGCTTTGAATTCAATGCTCTACAAAACGCGAAATTTCAAAAATAAACAAATGGAGACTTAATGAAGTTGGTAGAGCCTGATAAGTTATCGAACAGTGGAGTGGTTGCTCGAAACGCCACTTTATATATGTTATTTTATTTTAATTCTTAGATATGTCACCACAACCTTACGCGTGTGTTTTACCTTTTATTGCCAGATGAACAGAAAAGTTACAAAGTATGGTTATCAGTCTTAGAAATAGGCAACTTTGTAAACTGGAGATATAGATAGGGATTTTAACGACATTGTACAAAGTATGTTGCCAATCAAAAAAAAGGGCCGGAAGAAGCGCCTAGTTGTTAGCGTTCCGAACTATCGATACGATGGTCCCGTTGTTGCTAAATCGCGACCCACACTTTCGAGTCGTTGGTATTTTAGAAGTGTGACGGTCAAATAACTTTATTCAATTAGAGTAGCCCAAGAGTTGTCGGTGGGTGCTGCTTTCCTTCTAGTTTATCATGTTAAAATTGAGGACGGCTAGCGCAGATAGCCTTTCAGTAGCTATTGTGCTCGAATGCCTGAAAACAAACAAACTTCGGCAAACAAAATTATTTTTTGTCTGTTTCTTTCGCTACACAGTTTTTAACAGAAACAAAATAATAGGAAAATATGTTTTCACAGACTAAGCTCACGTTTAAAAACCATAAAACCTTTTAAAGTTCTGGATGTCGAGATTTTTGAGATGCAGTTTTTAATAAGAATAAGTTAATTTGTGTTATTAGTTTTATTTGCACAAGGGCTAATTGACCTAGCCATCCCTAAATTTGACTAGAGGTAGACTGGAGGTAATGTAACTAACTAACAGCACCCACTGCCGATTCTTGGGCTATTCTAATTGGATAGAGGGATTTGACCGTCACTCTTATAACAAGTCTACGACTACGAATCGCAGAGAGCGAGTGTGGCATATCACCCACTTGGTCGTACCTGGCTACCAACAAAACAAGGAATAAGAAGAGGTCAGAGTCATGTATCGTCGAATGTATATTGTAAGCTGGCCACCTTTCCTAGTTTTGAACTACTGACCCAGGACCCTACCACCCACCATCTATGCTAAGGGATTGACTCTCACTCTTATAACACACTCAAAGCTTAAAGTCATGTCTTTTTATTGGGCCTGACGTGTCCCAGTGGTTAGAGTGTCAGGATGGGGATCTAACGATCCTGAGTTCGAGAGGTGGTGGTGCTGAACATGCTCCGAATTTTCAGTTGTATGTGCGTTATAAAGGTGAAAGTCAATCCCAGTATTTAGTTTATAGAGTTGGACAAGACCCTTGGGTGGAGGTAATACTCACTGGCTGCTTTCCCTTCTTGGCCAGTAGTTCAAAATTAGGAATGGTCATACTTGATCCCTAAAGGGTTTTCTGACCTAATCGTTCAGTCCACGTGCACATAAGGTATTGTTCAGGTTGAAATTTCTAATTCAACTTCCTTCTCCTAATGTTTCACGCACAATTAAGTCAAGCTTACTTTTTATGATGTTATAAGGCTGAAGCAAAGTATATGTGATAACTTGGAGATTGTTTTTTATATTCTATTTAGACTGAAGTATTATTATTATTATCATTATTATACTTTATTATAAAGATGGCCTTACCTAAATCTCCTAAGCTGGTCGAACCTTGTGAAATATTATTGGGCTTATGATCGAAAATGTCCTTAACAGTGAGGGTACTTGACTGAAAAAACAATGCATTCTAATATTTAAAATTAAAAACGTAAGAAAAATATATTTAATTAACTATACTGATTACAAGGTTGGTTTTTAGTTTCGCTCTGGTCGGAAGTTCATGCTAATTACAGTTATTCAGTTACAGTACTCTCTCATAACATATGGTTGTTGTTTATTTGCTAGAACCTACTCCAAAGAGGGATGATGATCTCATTATTGGAGTAGGTTCTAGGAATTAAACAACAAAAAGAGATGAAGAGAAAAATCCATACTGGATAGAAGACAAAGACCTAGCTCAGAGTGAGTTGTGTTATCTGGATCCGTTAGAAACTAACTTTTTCAAGGAATTAATTGAAAAATACCTGAAGCCTCTTCTGAAGAACAAAGATCAAGAGTCTCGGATTGCTTCTGAACTGAAGGAGCTGCGAAACAAGGTTGTTTTTGGATTTCTGATGTCTAATGCATTGTTCATTCTCATTGTGTTTTTACTGCAGCTGAACAAGGAGCAGCTACACATCAGATGGCCGCTAGGGGTCAAAAGCAATATTACCTACATTCCCAAAACGGAGGAAGTAAAAATTGACAGGGAATATTTAGAATTGGAACCTATTGGTTTGGTATTTGCCTCGTTTTTTGCTATAATTTTGATCGTACAGTTTATCGGTATGGTTTTGCATCGCTTTGCTACCTTCTCCCACATCTTAGCATCCGTAGAACTTAGCTGCTGTAACAAGAAGGTTGAAGACATAAGTGACGATGCTTTTATTGACAAGAATGCAATATACATAGCTAAACAACTGCAAAAATTACGTGGCTTTCATGAACAAGAAGTCGCAGAAGACAAGAAAGGAGGGAACCGATTGGAAAGAAGAAGGACCATTCACAACTTGGAGAAAAGACGCCACCAACAACCTCGAATTGGTACTTTAGACTTAGCTTTTCGTACAAGACTTTTCAGTATTTCTGAGGAAGGTCCAGGTAAGTTTAACTTATATTCTAACAGAAGTTTGGATTTAGTTGCTCCTTTAAAAAATTTTTTGATTTAGCTTTACTAAGAAAATTGTTTTGTTTGTTTTGAATTTCGCGCAAAGCTACACGAGGGCTATCTGCGCTAGCCGTCCCTAATTTAGCAGTGTAAGACTAGAGGGAAAGCAGCTAGTCATCACCACCCATCGCCAACTCTTGGGCGACTCTTTTACCAACGAATAGTGGGATTGACCCTCACATTATAACGCCCCAACGGCTGAAAGGGCGAGCATGTTTGGTGGGACGGGGATTGCCTCCTAAGAAAATACAAGTTATCATCTTCTGAAAAACGTACTGTTATTAAACAATAGATTTAGTCGTTCCTTTATGATATTTTAACTTCGCTTTAATATTAACATACGAGTTATCTTCTTCTATCACCCCTCCCCCAGTGGCACAGCGGTATGTCTGCTGACTTAAAACGCTATAAACCGGGTTTCGATACCCGTGGTGGGCAGAGCATGGATAGCCCATTGTGTAGCTTTGTGCTTAACTTCAAACAAACAAACAATCTTCTTCTATTAGAATTACTCCTAAACGAGATTTATTCTCTCCTGTATAGGAGATTTTAACCTTGTGTAATAACGTAGCTATAAGTCCTAATGGTTAATCTGTTGTTGTAATTAACCTGTAAACACGAATCCGGTGGGATAATTAACGTGTGAAGATGTTTGTATATTTTACAGCAATGAGAAAGATACTTCGTATACCTGTACAACAATATGTTTGTGCAGAAGTAATTAATGGAAATTGTGAATTAATTAAATAATAAAGGATCTTTCATCAGTAAGGAGTAATAGATACATTCAGTTATAAAAATTACTTTTAATCTTTTCAAAATAGCAACTCCGGTTCTTAAGGACCTCCGCCGTTTTAGCCGACGGAATACATTGAAGGCGTTAGAAAAACGAAGGAACACGGTGGTTGGATTAGAAACGAGGCTTAACTCACTGGGAGGTCCAATGCAGCTCGGAGATGGCACAACCGCGGATTGCATCAATATACAAAGACTGCTACAGTCTTCTCGGGAATCTGTGGAAGGAGTTACTAACCACGCTTTTATGAACGATAGTGATGACGACAGAGAAAATGAATTACAGATGAGTGTGTTGAATAATGAATTTTCCAACATCAAACAACATCAAGGCCATCTTAGGCCCATGAGTGACGCATGAAATAAAATAGTTCGTGAGGAAACAAAATTATAGTCCTATGAACCTCACCTACACGCTGAAAATTTGGTCTAATTTGTTGTTATGCCCTAAACGAATGTGAATATTTAATTTTCAAACAACATAAAAAATTATCACAAATCTATTTAGTGAAATCAAAGGCAAAAGGATAATTTTTTTTTCAGAATTTCTGACATGAAAGACAGGCATTAATCATATAAATGGTTCTTCTTCCAAAAAAAAATTATCTGGCCCTGATGCTTGAGACATTCGGGGGTAAATCGGTTAAGCCTGAAATTTCCGAGTTACTTTACAGTGTGAACATAATTTTGTTTTTACTTATTTCTAAATAAAAACGTTTAAGCCACGTTTTTTTTTATCTGATTATTATCCTAAAACGTTAGAATTTAGTTAAATATACATATGGTACTTAAAACTTAAAAACAATTACACAATAAACTCTCATTTGCTTACGTTATTCGTTTACAAGCTGTGTTTAATTAATGTTTAATGTTTGATTTAATTATTTAATTGGGAGGGGAAGGGGATTTTTTGACATTTTAGTCGTTTAAAATGTAACAAATGAGAGCGAATTTCCAATGGTCAATAAGATATATATTGTATCAGTATTTAATGTATTTCAAATTTCTTTATTAAGTTTCAACTATCTTACATTTGCACGTTTCATCTTAATAAAATACGATTATCAGTGATATTCAAATTGCCTCTGAAAAGCTATTTTGGCAATATGTCTGGCATCACCATGTTAAAGTTATTGATATGTTTAACTTTGTACATACCTATAGATATCTTATCCAGGTCAAAAAAAACATAATTTGATGCTTTTTTTATTGATGACAAATGTTTAGTAATATAAAAGATAATTTAATTGTAATCAAACTTGAAAATAAAAATTACTTGCCAGAGTAGTTGTGTAAATAGTGAGCATGTTAAGAAATTATACTTTAATTATCGTGATAAATGTAAAGTATTTTAAATAAAAGTTAAATAATATGAATAAAAATTGACTTTTTTTTTCAAAAAGGTCACATAAACCAACATTAATTTCTGAACCACAGGAACTGCTTTTATTGTTTATCATTAATATTCATCTCTATACTTTTTAATTATTTTTTTTTCATTTGTAACACCATTAAACTCTCAAACCCCTTTTATTACTTTAAATCAAACTGTCACTTTTATTCCGATGTTTTTAAGACCTTTCGATCTAATCATAACACAACATCTCGAAAATATATTAACATTATTTCCCGTGTGATACCAAGAGGAGATTAGTTCCGGCTAAAGCACAAGCTCTCCTCCCTCCATTAATGGAGTCCCATCGCAGCACGTTTGTCAGAGCGCAGTCCAAGTAGCGTAACACTATCCCTAATTAATATATTTTTTTTACTTGTAACACCATGTACTCAGTGTAATTATTGTTTATTATTATAGGCTTAAGAAGTCTGGAAACCTAAAAGTGCGAAATACGAACTAATAAACTCATAAAACATACAATCCAACATTCTTTTTTTTCAATCACCTTACTTTAAAGTCACTTTCAAGTATCTCTGCAGAAATGGTTGGTTATCTAAGATTCTAATCAAGGAAAGAAAAGACTCAGACCCCTTTTATTAGTTTAAACCAGACTCTTACTTTTATTCCGATGTTTGTAAAACCTTAGTGGGGAGATCAACCTATTGGTTTGAGACGGTTTTACTGGTCCATTTTATATTTGTTTTGTTAATAAAAAAAAATCCCCTTGGATCTAATCATTATTTCCCGCATGATACCTAAATTTGTCTTAATTTCGAGAACAAGATAAACAAATGTTTTTCTAAGCAGTGTATAGAATTTAGGGTTAAAGTATTAAACTTTAAGCTACATCTTGTTTCTTATTGAAATGTGTATCCTTGAATTTCCCTTTTTTTTATTGATGACAACTCAAGTTACAGCATTATTATTAAGTTCTTTTCGTTAAGCTTTATGATCTTGAATTTTTTCATAACTTAAAATAGGCTTAAAATATACCCAGAGCTTCCTCTCTCTCTTGTCCCCCAGTGAGATAGCGGTAATTCTACGTACTTGCAACGTTAAAAGCCGGGGGATCGATTCCCCGCGGTGGACACAGCAGATAGTTCAATGTGGCTTTGCTATAAATAACACATACATTTCTCCCTTACGCCTTACTCACTACCGAAACTGTGCCTTGAAAGTGAACTGTGGTAACTGATGTTAGTTAGCACTGGATATTAGCAAATGTCAGCACTACTTTTAGTTTGTCGTCACAATGATTCCAGGATAGAACAACTATTATTACAGGACTAAGACAAAGTTTGTGTAGTTAGTAAGTATTTCAAAAAATAACTTAAATTTCAGTTAGGTTAAGATACGTGTGATTATTCAATGAAAGACGTCAAAGGACAAAAAGTTGAAATTTCAAAATTAATATTAATTTTCTACATTTTATTCAAAGACCAAAAACAATGTGACAAAAATTAATACCCGAGTCAAGACACGTGGTAGTGTATCGTGTGGCCAAAACAACCTGCAGGGCACACTGTGTGTTATTAACAGGAGTGATAATGTAGTGATTTTCCACCTTCTGTAGCTCGGACTGTGGTAATCCAAACTATAATATATTTTCAGCGGATGTGCTCCACTGGATCCTGATTTCACACACCAAATTTCAAGGCAAATCCATTAAGAAATACACGAGATATAAAATCTCCAATGAAGTTCTTCCTTTTTTTTTTCTTCGTTCCAAAAGTATTGAAACTTTATTTGATAGAAAAACATACTTAATTGTTTTGGATTTTTCCAAATTTGGTACAAAGATATACTTTTACAATCAACAATTAAGTGTAAAATTTGGTCAAAATATAAGTCATGCGTACAAAGTTATTCAACGAAAACTACTCAAATTTGAACAAATTTTTTGCGCAATTGAGCTATTGGTTTGAAATTTTTACTACAGCTTCTCCTAAAAGTGGATCGTTTTTAGTTTTTTTTTTCATTCGGATTAAAGACGGATGATTTAGAGCAGCAAAACTATAGGATGAAAGGATGTGCAGATACATAAGTATTGGTTAGCCAAGTAAACTAGAATACCAGTTTCTGGCTCAAGTTTTCCAAAAAAATCATAAGGATTGACGGTTATTATTGATTATTCGTTGCCAAATTTTTCACCACAAATTTACTCAATTTTACGAAATTATTCTAATTGAAGAACGTTCAGCGTCACTTGATATTAGCTTAAGCAGTTAGCGTAAATAATGATGCTTGATACAGGTGTACCAATTGCATGTGGGTGATGACAAGAAACTGTTAACCTAGATTCCATGGCGTTACTATAAAGGAAGATATTAACACTGTTTTAGAGAGGAAAAACTACCAACATATATTTTAAAGAATCTGGTTGGTTTTGTAAAGTAAAAGTCTGTTCCGAATAATAGGGTTGCGATCCTAAAGCTAATGTTGGGTACTATCGAGTGTCACTTTTATATTTGGTGAGGTTTATTGGTGTGTATTTACAAAAAGTTTTACCCACCATCATGCCAGAGTTGAACAAAAAAAACGCGGCCTGGATAACTAATGAGTGAATATTTGCTGTAAAAGTCTTATAAATTCTATAAGTGATTTTGATTTCATTCCTTTAAATCGCTTGCTGAATATTTTTTGGTTGCACTTTTTTTTCACATCTAAGGTGTTTTTGATTAGATTGTTATTAGCACTAGACAGGTTGGGCAAGTTTTTCGCTAAGTATAAACTCGCCTGTTATCAAATTCAAATATTAAAAAAGTTTTATATCTTTTTAATTAAAGACAAAATGTGCCGTTGAGTATATGAATCACATACATAATAAAATATCGAATATATAAAGCACATTGGTCAAATATAAGATTAAATAAAGTTTAAAATTTTAACAGTAAAACCCAGCTTTGATTTGATGTAACATTAATCATCAAAAACATGAAGAAACAACATAAATAAAATTTAGAATCTCAACTGTCAAATACACCTTTATTTCGATGTACATTGGTCAAAAGTAAAAATACCAGAAATTTAAAATTCAATCGTAAAATCTCTTTTGAAACTTTATCAAAAGAGTTATGAGTTTGATCTATTTATTTATATTTGTTTTACTAACTCTAGTTTACAATAATTTTTAATTCCTTGTAAAAATATCACTGTAGTTTTTAGTCTTCTGCACCTAAAGACGTATAAAACGTTTTTAGATAATGTTCTCTGACATCGAAGAAGAATTACAGCTCTTAGTTTGTTATTATCCAATATAAAAAGGTCTGGGTGTAGCCCAGTGATTATCATGCCCAGAGTGTGAATCTGCCAAAAAAAATAGATTTTCCGTGCTATGTGACCCTATATGTGCTGTAAGACTGACGATTAAACCCCACTATTCGAGCTAATTACAGCTTTCAGTTTGTCATTATCCAATATAAAAAGGCCTGGGTGTGGCCCAGTGATTAGCGTGCTTAGAGTGTAAATCTGCATAAGAAAGTGTTCAGTATTATGAGGTCTTATGCATGCTGTAAGACTGACTATTTCAATATTCGTTCAAACTAGAGAATGATCTTGACTATCCAATTCAAAATTGTAACTTTACGAGAAAATTCTAAAACAAGCAAACAATATAAACAGCTAAGTTAGTTTGGTATTTCAAAGCATAACTTTTTTCACAGTGAATGAAAGAAAACATATAAATGTCTTGCTTTTTTATTTCTTTCAAGCAAATTTGAATAGCCCGATGGTTAGGTTGCTTGACTCACAATCAGTGAGTTGAGAGTTCGAATACCGTTATCGAAAAAGCCATTAGGGTGTTATATGATGACGGTCGATCCTACTTTTCATTAGTAAAAGAGTAACTCAAGATTTAGTAGTGGGTGAAGTAGCTGTGAAATTCGAAAAACCAGTGCCAGGTATGACACGTACCCTGGGCGCCACTGAGCAGTTTCTATTAAAGTCAGACAAGCCATCCTCCAATAGTAAAAAAAGAATTTTCTTCAGATGTATGATCTGTCTTTGATTATCCTGGGTGAGAAGCACTAGGATGGCCGGATTGTTAAACCACTTATATAAATCAGTGTAAGCAAGGAAGGTGCACAGTTGTAATTTTCATTTTAGTG